AAACCGAACAAGAGCACAGATACTGCCAGAAAGCCCGCCGTTTCTGCTGGTGCCCTGGATGCTCACGTCACGCCATTCCTACTCATCATGATCCCCCATTTCCTCTTCATCTCATTCTTGTCGTCCTAGTGGGAGTCCTCCTCGTTCTACACCCCTCTGCGCCATTCCACGCTTGAACAACGCCATGCGTACCGAGACACCTGGCGTCCCTGGGGCCCGACAACACCACCGCCGACCTCGCCACCGTCCGCTGCCAAGAGGGCAGTGGACATTGATTGTGCAGACAGAAAGCTGGCGCGATTGGCTTCCGTACAGGTGGTCAGCTGAGAAACACAAAAACAGCGAGCAGCAACCCCTTAACAACCCTGCTCATCGCCCCCTTCTTGCCTTTTCGACCGATTTCACTCCAATGCTTACACATAAACGCATCATGCTGGAGCACCCTTCCAGAGGCAAAACACACCACAGAGACCTTGACGCAAGAACCGCTCAAACGACACAGATGCGGGGTGAGGGCACGGTGACAACTCTAAGAGTATGAAGCAGAGCTGTGATCAGGAAACCGAGCATGAATCGTAGACCATACAACAAACGGAGGGAGCACATCTACCAGAAGGGTAACGCACACGGAAGACGCAGCCTGCTCTCGGCATGTATGATGCTGTTGAACACGACCTGCGATGTCATTTCACTAGGCGCGGGATGTGCGTGCACATGCTCACCACCTTTGCCGTCGCTCCTCTCGAAAAACAACTGCAAGTTACAAGTCGTGGCGCAACGCATGCATGGCCACGCAACTGCTACTCGCACAACTGGCGACTTTGCCGAGGGTCAAAATCTGAAATTGCCACATCGTGTTCAAGCGTGACTGGCCGTCGCAAGACGGTCTGCTGCTCGAAATATGCAACCAATCCGAAAATCCCCGATCGTCGGCCACGGCCTTGGTCGCAACCCGTCCCCTGTCATTCTTAGACAACCATCCTGCGGAAGTCGGTCCTCGCCGGGATTACGCAACGACGTACAACTTTTACCTTTCTTCCTCTATCTCCGCCTCCCTGTCCACCATCTCCGCCTCCCTGTCCAGGCCCCGCCCACTCCGGCACAACGCTTGATACGTTTGTGACCCCGCAGGGTTCTCAACCTGCGCCCCCAGAAGACAGCGTTTGCGTGCCGCCCGCGCCCCTTCTGGCACACGCTCAACCTACTGCCCCAGAAGCCAGCGCTCGCATGCCAGCTTCCACCAAATGCGGAACATCTCTCAAGAGGTCTGACTCCTCCTCCTCCCTCCTGTCTCCTCCCTCTCGGAGCCCAGAATCTCGAGGATGTGACAGGCGAAACGCACGGGCCAGACCACCTCGCCCGCAGCATCTCGGAGCCCCGAATTGCGAGGATATCTGAAGCGAAACGGGCCACACACCGTTGCGCGAATTTTATCAGAGCTCAGAGTTGCAAAGATGCTTCAGACGAAACGCGCCGGACCGCCTCTCGCTTAACATCTCGGAGCACAGGAATGCGAAGATGACTCAAGCGAAACGGACCGGACCACATCGCGCGCGGCATCTCGGAGGTCAGAAAAGCGAGGACATCTGAAGCAAAACGGATCGGACAACCTTGCGCGCGGCATCTCGGAGCTGAGAGTTGCGAGGGCGCCGGACCACCTCTCGCGCGGCATCTCGGAGCGCAGAAGTGCGAGGATGTGTAAAGCGAGAAACGCCAGACCACCTCCGCGCGGCGTCTCGGAGCTCAGAATTGGGAGGATGTCTCAGGCGAAACGCGCTGGACAACCTCTCGCGCAGCAGCTTGGAGCGCAGAGTTGTGAACATGTCTCAGGCGAAACGCGCCAGACCACCTCGCGCGCGGCGTCTCGGCGGTCAGAAAGGTAAGGACTTCTCAGGCGAAACGCGCAGGACTACCTCGCACGCGGCATCTCGGAGCGCAGGGGTGTGACGATGTCTCGCCAGACCACCTCGCGCGCGGCGTCCTGGAGCCCAAATTTTGAAAGATGTCTCAGGCGAAACGGCCAACCCCTGACAACTCAGAAACGAGAGTTGTGAGGATGTCTCAAGGGCCCAAACCAACATATTTTTGTTGAGGATGTCTCTGCTCTCCTTTCCCTCTGCTAGCACCCCGTTCAGCAAGCTGTTTGGTGAACGACAGCGTAAGCGTTCGGAGGTCCGCGCAAATTCCACCAGCCTGTTAGAGCGTAGGTGATGTAGGGCGGTTCCTCTTCCAACCCTCTCCTTCCCCTTTCGAGAGGGGGGTACACCCCACTACCCCCTCCTCTTGGCCTTGGAGCGGGGGTGGGCGCGAGCGGTCAGAGCGTCCAAGATGGCTCCGACTAGATGGTCTCCAAGATCGGTGAAGATATCCGAGGACAGCACATGATGGCTTCTAACATGCTCCAAGAGACCTCAAGGCTCTCACAGGATTGTCTCAAGCTGCCAGGGAGGCCCCCCCAAGGATGCCCCTAAAGGACATAAATGATGTGGACCTTCCCGCCTTTTCGCTTCCGATGGGCTCATACAGCCTCAAGGTGGCTTCAAGACAGTCCCAAGAGCGCCCTAGACCGCCCCAAGATGGCGCCAAGAGGCGATTTCAGGGGCTTCAGAAGGGCAGCGCGGTTCAGGGACGCCCTGTTCGTTGATCGTTGTCCTCGAAGATGGTCCCAAAAAGGCCTCCGATGCTTTCGAGAGGGCCCCAAGAGGGTCTCAAGAGAGTTCCAAACGCCAAATGGCTTCAAGAGGGCTCCAAGAGTACCCAAGAAGCCTCAAGAGCCAGAAAGAGGCCCTCAAGACGATCCAATATGCATGTAAGAGGCCCTCAAGAGACACCCCAGTAAGGCCAAAGGACGCATTCAAGGAGCATCTGGCGAAAAAGGGTAGAGATGTCAAACTGATGCCACGCTCCCCCGTTCAGGGCAACTCGCCTGGGCATTGTTGCTCCATACACAAAGCACCAACAATTTCTTGAAAGGGCGCTGGCCCCTCTCCCAGGCGAGCGAACTCCGTCAGAGGGGACCAGCGGCGATCGGGACATTACGCGCGGACCTCCCACATCTGATGCTTCGGTAATTGTTGCCTCCTTCCCGCTCCTCCACACCCTCTTCTCGGGCCGGGGGAAAGGGGGGGTAGCAAAGGGGGGGGTTGAGAATCAGCTCACGTAACTGATTTTCCCGGCGCCTCCCGGCGCCGGAGGCGGCTATGCATGTATCGAGAAAATGGGCCCCTCGGTGGGGCCGAAACCAGCTGCATGCAGCAGATGACGCAACCCCCCCTTTCCCAATCCTCCCCTTTCGTCCGGCCCGGTCTTCTCGGATACACACACACACACGGGTAGCCCTAAGTAGGCAAGAACGACCTCTGGTGCGCGGCTTGCCCACCGCTGCATGCGGTTCGACAGAAGCGGCCTGCGTGCTCGGAATTGCCCCCTCCCGCCCCCCCCGCGTCGCCCAGAAGCCGCGGACCATAGGTCACTGCCGCGAAGGGTCACTACAGTCGGCCTCGATTGGACAGGACACGCGAGAGGACACGAGACCCTTCCGAGGGCCACATCGCCATAGGAGTGTAAGAAGGCACGTGTCGCGATGCACAGGACACAAGGTTACCCTTGAGCTGGCAGGTTCAACCTACTAATCCGAGCCGACTGCATTGCATGTAGCCGAAAAACTGCCAAAACAGGTGCCTGGAACCGATCCTGGGGTTCATCCTGGCCAGTTCTTCCATTCGTGACCAACTGTGGCTCGAACCGACGAGGTCGCTTTGGCGTTGGCAACTGACGAGCAACACGCGGCATGCAGCAAAAGTGCGGAGATCCACGATCAAGATTGAGTGAAAGCATGCATATCATATTCAAAAATACGCAGCATCCTCGGCGCTAGAAAACCTCACTTTAGTAGACCTCCCCTTAGTCACAACGGCCTGGGACCGAAACCGATGGACCTGGACCCGCAAAAATGACGGCCGCGACGCCCTCCCGCGAACCGAAAACAGCCAATTCACTAATCGACGTGTCAGGGTAGGAGGTCTGTCCAGACCCGGCATCCCCGCAATTGCGGAGAAGACCGAAGGGTGTGCCCCGCATCAGCGCACATGCACGGTGCGCCCGCTTAGTGCACCCGCACCGCGCGCCCGCACCGCGTGCCCGCACAGCGCGCCCGCACTGCATGCCCGCACAGCGCGCCCGCAGGGCGCGCCCGCACAGCGCGCACGCAGGGGCAGAGTCAGACCTTACCAGCCTCGAACGTATCCCTAATTATCCCTAAGATCGACACGCCAAAAGGCGATGACAATCTTAGGGATTCGCCATCAAAAAATAAGGGAATCCCCAAGATTGGCATCGTGATGAGGAGGTGCCCAGCATAGGGATAGGGATATGCTCCAGGCTGGTAAGCACAGCGCGCACGCAGGGGTAGAGTCAGACCGCTCGGAAAACCCTCACTCCGGCCTGTCTCATCCGGGCCCCCCTCCCCCTCTTCACGAGAGGCGGCGCACGAGGTGGGGTGCTCCGAGTTTCTCAGTAAGCGTCGGGGGGGCGTCACCCCCGCCGACGGCCCCACATCGACCCCCGTCGCGGGCAGCCACCGCGCGCCAAAGGCTCTCCGACCCCCGCCGCGGCGCGACGACGCGGCGAGGTTGGCCCCACGTCGGGGGGTGTACCCCCCCACGCTTACTAGGAAACCCAGAGTAGGCTCAGATGTGCGGTCAGCTCCAAGCTGGGTTCCCTCCCTTATCCCACCATTGGGCCCAAACCCCCTCTGAGCACTCTAGCTGACTCAGTGGGCAGCGGGCCACAGGAGGCCTCAACCTGAACCTTGACTGGGGGCAGACCTACTCTCGCCGAGCTGGCCTACAGAAAATGGCATACACAAAAATTCCTAGACAAACGCAGCTCCCCGCGAAGGGCAAGGACCGGCCCCGAGCGATCCGTCACAGCAGCGGCATCGACAAACGCTGGGTCCGCCGTCGCACCCTCGGCTCACCCCGCCCCGCTGCGGCGGGGGCCTCGTCCGGCGAGATGCCGCGGGCGGCCATGCGGCCCAGCCACGACGCCGCCTCGTCCGCCCTGCCGGCGACCGCGCACGCGCCTTCGGCACCCGCGCCCCCCCCCCCTCCGCGGCAGGCGCGCGGGCGGCGAGCCGCCCACGCCCTCGAGGGAGCTCGGTGGCATCGAGGACCTGGGGACGCTCCTCCTCTCGGGGATGGACAGACCTCCCTTTAGTAAAACGTGGTTTAGTGAAAACGACCTGAGGCCCAAACCTGCCGGACGCAAGCCTGGAAAATAGCTGCCACGGCGCCCTCTCGAGAACCGAAAACGGACAATTCACTAATCGACGTGTCAGGGTAGGAGGTCTGTCCACCCCCGATCCTCGCTCCCGGGGCCTTCGGGGCCCGACCGAGGATCGAGGGCCCGAAGACGTTCCGAGCATCGACGGGGGCTCGAGCTCCGAGGCTCCGGGGGCGCGCCTCCCAGCGCTCCCGGGAAGGGGGACCTCCGCGCAGGCCTCCGGGGGGGGGGGGGCGGCGCGGCGGCCCCACCCCGCCAGAGGATGGAGGCGAGGGCGCCGGGGCACCGAGGAGAGGCGCCTGGCGGCGATAGAGCCCCGCAAGCAAAAACGAGGAGTCTGCACGACACATCGGCTGAAAAAGTACCCCGCCGCACGGAGGCGAGGGTGGGGGAGGAGAATTGCCCTGGCGCCCGCGCGGGCGCATGAGGCCACACGCGCGTGCCCTGCCGCCTTCCGGACCCCCAGAGGCCCCCCCCTCATCATCCTTCCCCCACGTCCTCGTCCTTCCCCCACCTCCTCCTCCTCCTCCTCCTCCTCCTCCTCCTCCTCCTCCTCCTCCTCCTCCTCTCCTCCTCCTCCTCTCCTCCTCCTCCTCCTCCTCTCCTCCTCCTCCTCCTCCTCCTCCTCCTCCTCCTCCTCCTCCTCTTCCTCCCCCTCCTCCTCCTTCTCCTCCTCGTCCTCCTCGTCCTCCTCCGTCTTTTCCTCCGTCTCCTCCCCCTCCCCCCATTCCTCCTCCTCCGTTTCCTCCTCCTCCTCTTCCTCCTCCTCCTTCCTTTTCCTCCTCCTTTTTCTCCTTTTTTTCTGTTCCTTTTTTCTCCTCCTCCTCCTCCTCCTCCTCCTCCTTTTCCTCCTCCTCCTTTTCCTCCTCCTCCTCCTCCTCCTTTTCCTCCTCCTCCTCCTCTTCCTCCTCCTCCTCCTCCTCCTCCTCCTCGTTCCCCCTTCAAGGCCGCGAGGCCTGCCATGCTGTTGAAAGATATCCGCGTCGGCTCCACGCGGGCCGCCAGCATACCCTCGAACCAGCGCGCCGCCTCCGCCACGAGGCCCAGCTGGCAGGGGGCGGGCGGCCCGGGGGTCTGAGGCAGATGAGTCGAGGGAGGCACTCCTCGTCCTCCTCTTCTTCCTCCTCCTCCTCCTCTTCCTCCTCCTCTTCCTCCTCCTTTTCCTTTTCCTCCTCCTCCTCCTATTTCCCCTCCCTTCCATATCCCTCTTCCCTCCCTTCCGCAGCCGTGTTGGCATAATCAATCAGCGGCGGAGCCGGGGATTGTGAGCCAGCGTTCTGGTCAGTCGCGTAGGAACCATGTGGGGCAGCCGTGGCGGCGGCAGAGGGCAGTCTCAGCGCTCGGCAACAACTTTTCCTTGTTTCAATGTCGTCGCTTCCCTTTTTAATTCGAATGGTTCAGCAAAAAACTGCTTAATACAAAACTCTTCTGTGGGCAAATCAAGCATTACCCAATGTAGTTCGCGCGCAGCTGCGAGAGGATTAGTACACTGTACCGCATCAGGTCAAGGTGAAGCACATGACCATGCGCGGGCAAGGTGGCGCACATAGCGGATCTCCTGGAGGCGTGGCGTGCCACAAACTCAAGACTGTTCGAGTCCCCGCCATCCGCGGGAAGACCCGACCTCGCCACCAGGATGCAGCGCGTCTGTCGCTCCCGCAACGCTGAAGCGCACCTGGGCCTCAAGCTAGAAAGCGACCCTGAGAAATTACATGGGCGGCGTCGAGCCTGGCAGCCGCAACGTCTGGGGACGTGATGGGGAACAACAGCGAGTACTATCAGCGAGAAGTTCGTCAGCGATTGGGCTGTAGGACTACAGCGCATGCGACAACGAACGTCGAGACACGTGCTACTGGCGCAGATGTTCGAGGTTGGCTTCTGTCACAAACTTGGGCGAGCCTTTCGCGCATGAGTGAAGACCGCGGGCGATCCGCGCCAGAGTATGCTGCTCCTCGGGGGTGGGCGCAACGCAAGGCTTACAGAGGTGCCTCTGGTCCGTGGGCGCTGACATCCCGCACTTCCGGCAGAAAACGCGCTTGCATTCCCTCTGGGGGCTCGTGGGGGATCGCCGGATTCGAAGCCCCGGGGAGGGGGGTCGAGGTCAATGGTGGGGTCCTATCCTCAACGCTCAGGAGGCCTCGCAGCAAACGCGAAGGCCATGCCTCGTGTCCAGCAAGCGCCCGAAGGATGACGCGGGCCATATTTTCGATGTCGGCGCGACCAGCGTTGCGCGGGCAGCTCCGCGCCCCGTAGTAGAGCATGTCGGGCTCCGGGCCGCAGCGTGCGCAGCGCGCGGGGGCGCCGCCCATGCGCGGCGCTGTCGGGCCCACTGGCCGCCCGAGACGACCGCCTCGTCGAGGGCCCAGAGGTCGTCGCCCCCGCGCATCTGACGCCGCCGAAGCTCGCCGCTTCTGAGCGCGTCGGCGCCGCCCACGATGACCGACGATCCCTGGCGCGGGGGCGCCTGCCGCCAGAGCTGTCGAGAGATCGCTCGAACTCGCCCAGCAGTTCCACGTAGTCCGCCGCCGCCTCCGCGAAGCCCCGCTTCTGGACGCGGTCGGGGAAGCGCCGGCTGGCGCCCCCCATCGGAGATTCAAGCGCCGCGGTCGACTGGAGCTCGGGGTGGCCAAACCAGAGGTCCGGCCGAGCCGTCAGCTGCTCGCGCGGCACGCTCGCGCTCGGGCCAGCCCTGCCGTAGACCGCGGCGAGGGCGGCGGCGAGGCACGTGCCTGGGCCTCGGCCCACAGCCGCGCTCGAGGCCTGCCCCCTCAGCTCGAGGACTCCGGGGCGGGGCAGGCTGCGCCTGGTAGCCGCAGGCTCCGTGGGCACTCGCGCTTGTCAGGGGCCCTTGGTGACCTCCTTGCGCCCCGCCATCTTCCTCGACCTCTTTACGGCGCTGGCCCACTTGGCAGCTCTCTGCGCCCTCCGTCTGCCTTGGCGGCCGGCGCGCGCGCGGCCCGCGCTGCGGCCCGCCCTAGGATCGGTGAAGCTGCCCTTGCTTTTGCTGGAACCTCGCTGCTGGAGCCCCTTGGCGGTGGCGACGGCCAGCTTCGAGGTGATCGCAACTGATTGCCGCGGTCTTGGGGGAGACGGCGGGCCCTGCGGCCTAGAGGCAGGCCCCGAGCCTCGCACTACTCTCTATAATCAGCTGCATCTCCGCGTTGGCCTCCGCGCCCCGCGCGCGCGGGACGGCGTCGTCCACGAGCGCCCAGAGGCCAGCGCCCGCCTGCTTCGCGAGCTGCGCGCGGTGGAAGATGGGGCCCAGGAAGGCCCCGGCGAGTCGCGCACCCTCTGTGGGCCCCGCCGCGATGGATCGCATCGGCTGCGCCTCCCTGCTGACCAACTGCCTCTCCTTCAACGGTCTCGGGGCCAGGGGCATGCAGCTCCAAGCGGGGCGCGATGGGCGGGGCGCCCTGCCCCTGCGCATGCTGGACCAGCCTCGGGACGCTGATGCCGCCGAAATGCTTTGCCAAATCCAGCGGCACGGTCGCCGAGGAGACGCCGAGCTCCTCGGCGGTCTCGTCAAGCGCGGATCGGCGGCGCGAGGCCTGCAGCGCCGGCGACCATCGCGCGGCTGTGCCCCAGTACTCGCTCAGGGCCTCGCTCCTCTCGCTGGTGACCCCGCTCCTAGGCTTGCCCCATGTCTTCATGACGAAACGGGAGCTGGCCCAGCACCCTGCCGCCCCCACCCTTGCCCATGGGGGCGGTGGCCAGCATCTGTCTCGGCCGCGCCCCCATCTCCTCGACGTCGTTGAGGAGATCGATCATGCCCTGCCGGCCCTCTGTGAACAGCCTCTGACTCTCCATGGGCCCCAGGTCGTCAATGGCCCGGCCTTGGAGGCGCCGTGGGCTGAGGGCAAGCAGTCTAGCTGCCTCGGCGCGAGCGGGGCGAGGGGCTCCTGTCGCGCGCGGCCCATCACCATGTGGATGCCCTCCTGGACCTGCTCCTGGGTGACGCTGTTGTCGGCCCGGTGCCTCTCCCGCTCGTCCGCTCTGTTGCTCGCGAGCTGGTCGTGGGCCGCCGCGGCGCACCACTCCTTCGCATGATCGGCGGTATCTGGCCTGGGCGCCTTGGCCGCGCTGTGGAAGTCGCGCGGAGATTCCGCGCATTGAGGGCGCAGCTCAGGATGGCCTGCCCTTACTTGGCGAACGCCATAGCGACGACCCTCGACTGGCAGCGCTCCGCGATCAGGGTGACGGGGGCCACGTCGTCGTCTGGGAGGTCCTGCAGCATGTGCGTCGTGCACTTCCAGCGGGCGAAAAACCAGGCGCAGCTGGGCGACCTCGGCATTCTGCATCAGCTCGGCGAGCGTACTGCTGCAGCTCTCCGTCTGATGCGCCCCCCCGGGCGCGCCGTGGCATCTCGTGCCTCTCGAGCAAGGTCACCGCGATGCGCGCCTCCGCTCGAGGCGCTGGTCGCGCAGGTGCGCCCTCGCCGGCGCGGCCGAGGACCGCGCCCATATGGTAGCGCGGCCCTTGCCCCTGCCCGCGCAGGCTGCTCTCTTGTCCTGCTGCACCTCGTGGTGCTCCAGCGTGGCCAGCTCCGGCGCCACGATCCACCTCGCGAAGTGACCGTCGACGCGCTGCTGGCCCTGCGGGCCCCTCGTCAGCAGGAGATGCTCCTCCTACTGCACGGCGCCCGCTGCGGCCTCTGCCATGCGCGGGCGGTGTGCGGGGCCCTGAAAGGCATCCCCCGCCGCCCCCCCACTGTCGGCGGCGCTCCTCCCCCAGCCCCCGCCGCTTGCGCCGCGCTCTTGAAGGGCGGTCCCTGCAGGCCGGGCCCGCTGGGACAGCGACGGATCCAGCTCCCCCTCAGGCTGCGTCGCCGAGGGCGGGTCGCTCCTGCGGCCCTTCGCATGGCGTTGGTCGCCCGGTCGGGCGGGGCGCGCGGTGGATAACCTCTGCCAAGGGGGTCTCTCCTGGGGCCCTGGGGCCAAGTTCTTCGTCGCTGCTGCCGCGCGCGCCTCTGCCAACAACTCAGCCGGGATGTGGTAGGTGGTCATTGGCATAGGAGCTGCATCCGCTGACTCCTCTATCCCATCGCGCATCTCGTCGAAGGCGTCCTGGAGGCCTGCGTGTAGCCTCGCGCGTCTCTCCTCTCCGGCCTTCTGCAAAGCCGTCTGTTGCTTGCTGTTGGGGTCCGCCGTCTTCTTGGACCTCGGGACCGTGGGGGACTCGTGCGTGACGTCGAGCACCTGGTGCCGCCAACGTTGCGCGCCGTCCGCGATCGTGAGATTCAGGCCTACGCGGTCCTTGCAAGGCACCTCCTCGATTGCCTGCAACCTCACGCTGGCCGCCGCCCCTTTGATGGCGATGGCGTAGGTGGTCGATGACGTTGCCCGCGCCTCTGTTGCACGTCGCTGTGCAGTTCTCCGCCGTGAGCCTCTCTGCGTGGAGCTTCGCGAGCCACTGCGCCTTGCCCAACTCCTCTGGAACGACATTCCAGTCGCCCAGGACTGCCCACGGATCCTTCTGCTGGCGGAGGAAGGGGGCGAACCTGACGAGGGTCTGCTGGCTGGCGCCCCTGAAGCTCAGCTGCTGCTGAAGGTAGGCGCTGATTATGATCAGGTTTCCCGACTTGAGGTGCTGGCACGCGCGCAACACCCTGCGACAAAAAAGGTGTTGTCCAGCTGCACCTCTGGCTGCCTCTCTCCAGGCATTGAAGGAAGTGGTCTGGATCTGCTTCTTGGCCAGGGTCCACTCTCCTCCTGACGTGCCTGTCGCTGATCGGCCAGTCGGCTGCGCTGCTGTCGCCACGAACTTCCACTCATCGCGGGATAGGTCCGTGGCCGTCCTGCCGACGGCCTCCTCATTTGCGTGGGACCCCACCACGCCGACGACGTCGCACTCGTCAGCCTGCGCCCGCATGAAGCCTCTCGCCTGCGGGCTCCACTTTGTGATGCTCGCGAAAAACACCGTTGCGTTTCTGCTGCTCGGCCTTTCGGCCTTGTGTTTGCTGGCTGCCCCCTGTCTCACGGCGTCTGCAGCCTGGGCCCTGCACCAAGTGGGGGAATGGGTCGCATTCGAAGGACTCCCGCACCGCTCCCGGCTGGCCCTCCGCAAGGGAGGAGCCGCTGCTGCCGCCATGCTGCACCGCAAGCCCAGGGGGAACAGCAGGAGAAACCGCTGCCTCAGTCCCCGCGCTGGAGGCTGCCTCGCCGGACCTCGCTGGGAGGCGGCTGCGGGCGGCCCCGGCCGACGCCTTGAGGGTGGCGGCCAGCGAATGCCTGGGTCGGGGTCGTGCAGGCCTGGGACCTCCTGCTCCTCCGCAGCGGGGGCCTGCATGACTGCGTGCTCGGCGCACTGCGACTGGTCCCCAGGAGAACAAAGGAATAGGAGGTCCTCCTCCTCCTCTTCCTCCTCCTAGATATGGGAGCGGTTGTGGAAAATTAGCCCATCACAGGATGCCCAGCGCGCGCCGCCCATTTCGACCATAGGGCCCACGCAGCGCGGACGAGATCGCTCGTCGTCATTCTGTGCTGGCCCGCCCCCGCCCCAAACATCTCTCGCAAACGCCACCCAGTCCGGCAGACTGGGGCTGCCCAGCAGGACGTGGCCTGTTCGGGGTACAGCGTCGCCAGAGGCGGAGGCTGCCAGAGGCGCCAGCGCAGCCCCAGCCTTTGCCAGGTCCACTACTCGCCATCGCTCGGACGTCCATTCCCTGTTTTTTTTTGGTTTCGTGCACGGTTTTTTCGCCAAATGATCAAAGATGCTCCTCGATGGTCCTCGCCGAAGGAAAAATACACACGTCCGAGCGATGCCAAGACTACGCCCCCCAGGGCCCATACCCACCAGCGCCTCGGCACTGGCCTCGCGCGCGGCGGCCGAGACTGCCTCGGCAGCGCGAGGCGCGGGGCACAAGCCAGCAGGGTCAACCGGCGCGAGATAGACCTCTGCCGTCACGCCAGCCTTCTGAGGTGGCCGCAGAGCCTCCTGGTTAGACTCCGTCACGCCAGCCTGCTGAGGTGGCCGCAGAGCCTCCCGGTGGGAAAGCCACCAACAAGCAGCGATTCACGCGCCGAGCTTTGACCACGGAGCCACGCCAGATGTCGTGATTTTTGTCAATACGGGGTCCCCGGTAGTCTCGACCCATTCCCCAGGACCGGTTTTGCATCCTGAATCGTTTTTGACGGTCCCGAGGCCCCGTAAGGGCCCCTGGAGGCCGAAAATAGCAACAAAAAAACACCGTCGTGATTGTTTCAATACGTTCGATCTCTGGGAATCTTGGCCACCGCGCACATGCCTCGGAGAAGGCATCTGTGGATGCTGCCTTTGCGGCGCAATCTGGTCCGTCGAGCCTCGCCGTGCCCAACGTGGCTACGGGACTCGCCTGCCCGAGCACTGCCTACCACTCTGCGTCTGCCTGATTGTGTGTGCTGTCTCTGCCCGCAAGGTGCCACCACTATCTCACCGTCTCTGCATCCGGCTGTCTCTCTCGGGAGCGGCCAAGAGGGGGGTGTCCAAGAGGGGGGGGGGTGCAAATCATGGCCGGCGGCATGTGCGCGGCCCAGCGGGGGGGCCAGGGCTGGAATGTAACAAGAAGAGGCGCCATGAGATCTGGGGAAATATCATGGCCCCCGCCATGAGATCCACCCCCCCTAGTCATCACCCCCCTCTTTTCCGCCCCCGACTCTCTGCGTCGCTGCCAACTGAGCGAAGACCATCAACCGGTCCCACGCGAGATGGCACAGCAACCCTGCGCGGCTGTTTACGCCGGCCGCCAGCGCGGTACGCTGCCTGGAGACGGGGGCGCTCACGCACGACCTCACCCCGGGCAACGTGCGCGCCAATGCCGGCGACCCCGCTTGTCTGCGTCGCGCAGCTGGGCACGCCGCCTGGAGACGAGGACGCTCACGCGCGACCTCATGAAGGGGCCCTAGGACACACAAATAAACAGACACAAATAAAAGGAGTTCCCATATTTCCTCATATTTTCTAGGTTTTTGACTTCCCCACCACTTCCCATAGTTTCGTATATTTTCTGAGGAGTGGGCGAGTGTCTGTGTGTTGTTTCCCCTCCTGACCTTACACGGGCAACGTACGCGCCAATGCCGGCGACCCCGCTTGTTTTAGGTCGCCCAGCTGGAAGCAACTCCTCCCTTGGCAAGATGTCCCCCTCCCTGTCTTCAGTCGGGCGTGTCCCCCTACAGGGGGATGTTGGGCGAAAAATGAAACATACTCACGCAATACCCCCCAAAATGGGCAAACACTGTAAACAAACGTCGTCCCCATACTGTGCTTTGACTATCTTTGACGATTCCTCCCGTAGAGGGGCAGGCCCGACTTACTCCCTGCCCCTACTCTCTCTCTCTCTCTCGACCCGCTGCCTGCCCGTCCGTGCCCCTCCGCCTGCCTCCGCGTCCACCCGACCTCCGCACCGGCCGTCGGACGATGCCCGGCTCCGCCGGTGCGGCCGCAGCAACGAGTCGCAGAGCACATCGGCGCGCACGAAAGGGGCACCTTGGCGTACGCGTGGATGACACTGTTGAACGTCAGCACGTTCGGCGTCACGTTCGCCCTGTCGCACCTGGCGCGCTTGGCATCACAACGCAGCGAGCAGACTATCGCGAAGGAAGAAGCGGAACAGCCAGTGGAAAGTCCGACGAATAGAATTAGAACGAGCGCGTGTGTCGCACAGGCGGGTGTAAACCAAGCGATGATCAACCGCATCATCGTTTCTGCAGCAATGTCCTGCTGGTCAGATGGCAGAGTCCCAATCCGAATCGAACAACCCGAAACTGGAAATGTTCAACATGGCTCCGTTGGCAATGCATCTATATCGTTCTAACTTGACGGTACGACACGAACTCAGATCAGGTGTCCTGTTCCCACCGATGTCAGGAGGTTATCGAAAACCTAGCGTGCAAACACGGAAACACGCTCGATGTTTCTTGGCAAGGCTTTCAGCCATGCACCGCGGATATGTTGTAAAAACAAATGCCTGGAACGTACACTGCAAACCCGGTCGAATGTTGTTTTGCGTAGGGTGTGGTCAAACATCATGCCTTAACAACACGCGTCAAACCGCGAATGCCGCCGCGCACCTGGAGCCAGGTTGAAAGAAATCTCGATCTTGACGAGGCCAGAGAAAGCGGGGCAGGAACGAGAGCACGATTGCAGTTCAGCGCCGCTCTCTTCTGCAGCTCCTGTCGAAGGCCGTGTGCCTCGAAGCAGGCCGCCTGCACAACCCTGGCGCGTCGCGACGAGTGAGGCGCACTAATCCTCTCTGGGTGACCCAAAAGGGGGTCCAGCTGAAAAAGGGTGGTGCAATAGACTTGGGGCAATTGTATCGCAAATGTATTGCTCCGGACAATTGTAGAGCATTGCACTGCAAGTAATGTATTGCACGCGCAAAGCCAGCAATGCATCTGCGCCCCGGAGAGTGTATGGCACGTCCCAAATGAATTGCAACTCCACCAACATGTTGCACCAGATCCACTGCACCATCCCCCTTGTCGCTGGACCCTCTATTTGGGCCGACGCGATCTTAGGGGGCCACATGCGAACCCCACCCCTACCCCCCACGATTTCTAAGGGCTGGGGTGGGGTTCACTTCGCTCGGGGGTAGGGGTAGGGTTCGCATGTGGCCCCCTAATTATCCACGTCGAGCCGCTTCGGGTGAGGGGGAGGAGGAGATGGAGGAGGAGGAGGAGGAGGAGGAGGAGGAGGAGGAGGAGGAGGAGGAGGAGGAGAAGGAGGAGGAGGAGATGGAGGAGGAGGAGGAGGAGGAGGAGGAGGAGGAGGAGGAGGAGGAGGAGGAGGTGGAGGAGGAGGAGGAGGAGGAGGAGGGTTCGCATGTGGCCCCCTAGGTCTGCTCCCCGCGCTCCCGCGCCAAGCCCCCGCCCCCTCCTGGAAGGCAGGGCGACTCTCCGGCTCAGGGCTCCGGAGCGCGGAGCACGGGGCGGCCCGCCCCCGCTCGGTGCCCATGGGGGGGGGGCCTGCAACTCTTTTGATTCGCGGGTCGAGAGCGCACCTCTTCCGGTCGAAGCTAAGCGGGCCGCGCGAAGCTTGAATTAACAAAGAGGGGGGGAAGGGAAGGAGCGCTGTCTCACGGCGAGGCCAGGAGGAGGCAAAGTCTCGGGATCAGGCGGTGCCGAAGACGACGTGACGAGCGGCGAACACGCCAGTGTGAGGTCGGGCGCGCGTGTTCCCCATACAGGCAGATTTTGGACGAACGAGAAATATATATATATACATATATATATGTGCATATATATATATATATATATATATATAATGGCCAAACCGATTCGCAAAACAATGCTCCAACAGATTCCGAAAACCAGTCCCCGTACTATGTTTGACTATGTTTGAAGATTCCCCCTCTAGAGGGACGCGCCCGACTCAACGCCAGTGCGCCCTCGCGCTCTGGGGGTGCAGTGCAGGCCCGACCACAAGACACCTCTTACAGAGAAACCCAGCCCGGTGACCCCAGGACGTCCCTTGATTTTTGGTGTGGGAACGTCACGCTCACCGACGCAAAACCCTCGAAACCCAAGAAACCCAGGGCACCCTGGAGGCACGCAGGGTGCTTCTTGGCATGTGCCCCCACTGTACCATCTCATGCGTTCGGCGCGGGGCATCTGCGCGAAACCGCTCTGTCTACCACGGGGCCGTGGCCCAGGAGCACGGACTGCGAGGACGGGGGAATTGACGTGTCCCCCCATCCGCCACCAGTGGACTACGCCAACGACCACGACCAACATGCACCCAAAATTGAAGGGGCCCAGGGACACAAATCCGCCGACCCTGTCGGCGTGTGCGAGGGGCTTGGCTGTTCGAGTCGTCGTCTCCGTCGGTCGTCGCCTCCGTCGTCCCCTTTCCCTGCAGCGTCCTTCTCAAGCTCGTGAGCGAGAGAAAAATCTAGCAGTGTCGTAATCGAGTCGAAGGGAAGCCCCTTCCCTTTGATCCCTTCCCCAGAGGGGGGGGGGGTCCCGGGGGGGGTCCCGGGGGGGGGTCCCAGGGGTGGTCCCGGGGGGGTCCCGGGGGGGGTGGGGGGGCAGATTCGTTTTTCCTCGGGCGGCCTAGAAACCTCGAAAACACTCCAAATGAAGTCCGAATGCCCCAGATGGCCCCCGAGACGGCCCAAGAGGGCCCCGAGTCGCCCAAAGATCGGCCCAAAACGCCCAAGATAGCCCCAAGACCGTCCAAGAAGCCTCCAAGACGTCCCAGGCCCCCTCCAAGAGACCCCCAGGAAGCCCCAAGAGGCGCCCACGAGGCTTCCAAGCGGCCCCTAAGAGCTTCCCAAGAGGCCCACAAACTACCCCCAAGAGGCCCCCAAGAGCGCTCGTCGTCGTCGTCGTCGTCGTCGTCGTCGTCGTCGTCGTCGTCGTCGTCGTCGTCGTCGTCGTCGTCGCCATTCAGGGTCGGCGGCACCGGCCGTCAGGCCTTTGCAATAAATGCACACAAATCCCAAGATTCCCAGTGTGCTTTCTCATACCTATATGACCAGCCTTCGGGTGACAAGGAGGTTCTGGGGGGGGAAGGGGGGGAACCAACATCTGACTCAATCGATCTCACCATCGATCTCACTCAACGGGACACCACGGGACACCACGGGGCACCACGGGACACCGCGGACCATCGCCGGACGGAAAGCGGACGGACGGAAGGCGGAGGAGCAACATTTGTCTTGACTTCGCCCTAGCAATGCTGGCTCATTCCTCTCGCGCGCCCACGCAGCTTCGCCACGCCCGCACGCACGACGCGAACGCAACGAAACGATTTCCCGGTTGGAGGTCTCCGTTCCACTGCGACCTCACCCCACAACCTACGCTGTTCCCCCCCTCACTTCCCAAACTTTTGCATATTTTCCTGGGGATCGACGATGAATTGTCTTGGTTTACCCTCCTGAAAAATCCAAAAGCCCCAGATCCCTCCACATCCTGACCAGCATTTCGCCCCGCGCCTCTTCCGAACGGTCCCAGGGCCCGATACCGGCCTCGAAATTGTGAAAAAAGACCTCGGCCCTCGACGACGACGGCGTCGTCGTCGCCGGACTGGTGCATCCCGTGAGGTCGTGGTGGATATCGAAGCGCTGCCCGCCGGCGAGGAAGTCGCACGCAATCGGGTGGGACCTCACCTCGCTGTCCGCTACAGCACGGCCTTTGGACCCTGGAGTCCCCAGTCGCCCGAGACATCTTCAGAGAGCGGCCCAGAGGTCCCAGCATCGCGCAGAGACCTCGAACTCCCACTGACCTCGTCACGAGGTGTGGTCGCCGCGCCGCTAAGAGGGCCCCGAAGCAGGCCCCCCCGTCTGCGGCAGGACCCCTGCCGTCAGAGGAGGGAAAGGTACCGAAACCGCTGATCGTCCGCCGCCACGCCTGAATAAGAAGAAGAAGAAGAAGAAGGA